AGGAATGCAACTTCTTGCATTCTTTTCTGAGATTTACTGGATAACAAAAATGAATTGTTTAGGAACTAAAAAATTTTTTCACTAAGTTCTTGACAGCTAAAAATGTTATTTTTCTTGCAATGAATGAACAATTACCAAATAACTTAGTATCTGCAATTTTTAGAAATGGAGAAAGTTGATTTTAATTATGCTTTTTATAAAAATTACTTGCTCAAGTAGCAGCATCCATCATGACTGAAGCAATTTAAGCAATTTCTATCCTTAAATTTAAGTGCATTTAGGTAGGGTTGTGGTTGATACAGCTGTTTTCATGTTAAATATCTATTTTCAAGAGGAAAGATGATGACTTGCTGACATTTACATAATAGAAAAGAAACCACATTGACTTTTTAAAGTTTAAATTCAGAAGTAAATGGTCTCATTGCTTTAATATGTTCATAATAATAATCCAGCTTTCAGTGACTGACAAATAAGCAGAAGCATTTTTCCTGTGGCTGGTAATGTTGGGTTTCTGCCATATTAGGTACTATTTGGATATGTAATGCTTTTGTTTTATCCCTTGGAATAGCATTTTAAAACTGACAAAATACTGCAGTGAAAGCATGAGTGGAGGTAACACAGTTATAATTTCCACCACAAACTTGTCCAATGTAGTAATCAATACATTTGAAAACATCAACAGCCTGGGTTGAGGGGAAATGGTGTGAGAAAATAGGTTTGGGATTGAAATGAGAGATTCGTAGATGTAAACTGATGTTGCTGGCAAAGAAGGGAAGTCAAGGAAAGGTTTGTTTCACTGTGTATAGCTGTATAACTTAGTGGTGGGTAATTCCTTAGACCTTAACGGAGACATGATTAAAAGATGAATAGTTGAGTAGTGTTTTGGTAGCATTAATTTTGCTGTGTGAGGTTCTAAAAGGGTAAAAAGCTGATGGGAACCTTACCTCTCCTCAAGACCCCGTGGCTACATCTGTGCTATGAATAAAAAATGGGGCAGGGCACGGGCTTGGGCGCTGTCAATAGGATATTGTGATTAGCTTGCTCCCTGTGCCAAGAGAGCACAAGTGTCGGGCAAGGATCTTCTTCCTGCAGACAGTGCAGTGATTGTCCAGAGCTGATTCCCAGGAGCACTGTCCAAATACCACCTGGGATGAAGGTGATATTAGATGGGATACTTTCAATCTATTCTGAACCCTCTAGGAAAGTTTTAAGGTTACTGAAGCCAATGAAAGTGCTTGTATTCCTTGTCACAGCATCCCAGGTCCCAGGCAGCCAGCTCTCCGAGTCTGTTGCTACTGGTTTTCTGTCCCTGAAGCAGACTGATAGTAAAGGCCTATTGATAGTGTTTCTACACATTATTTGCAAGTTCTCATGAGTGAAGTTTACTTTGAGCTGATCAGTTTTGCATGGTTTGACCAAAGTCACAGAAGCTATCAGCTATCTTGAGAGACAGCTAACTCTTCCTAATCCCTCCTGGAGGCTCCAAGACAGTATTTAGTCAGATATGAGCTACCATGGTGATAACTGATGTGTCTCCTACTCTTAATCCTTTATAATTGTGCACAATCACGTGCAAAGGAGGAATAAACTGTCAGGTTTTACGTATTTCTAGCCCTTCACTATGGTGTCACCTAGAAAAGTACAGAAGACGTACTTAAAAACTCAAGAAGGAGAACACGGCATACCCTTGTTGCAGAAAGAAATGTGATGAACAGAGCTTTTTAGTAAATACCACCTACACTGGCCTTTATGCAAAACTGGAGTCAGCAGAACAGAATGAATAAGATCTAATCTCCCACCTTGTTCTGCCATTCCAGTCCCATGTGCCTACGCAAATATCCTGGCCCTGCTGAAAACCACCCTTAACTCAAGTTTCTGTAACCAGCCTGGGGTCTGGGAGCAACGACTCCCCTGCTGGTGTTTCAGAAAAGAAACTTGTGTGAGAGTTGGTCTGCATTTTTGGGCAGTGGGCTACTGTGGGGGGTTGAAGAGCAATCCTAGGAAGTGTTCTCTTTCGCTTTCCAAAGCCATACTGTCCCAGATTGCTGCTGTGCCCTTAGCTAATTAGCTTGCTCCTGACAGGTCAACTGTTGTTTCTGCTGTGCTAGAGCAATAAATCTTGGCTCATTTCCACCTTTTCTTACTAAAGTACTCTTACTCACCCTGGAGTGAGCAGGATGACATTGTCTCAATTATAGGCCAATTTCTCCCAGCAAAAACAGTGTTTTCAGAACAATTGTTCCACTGTTTCTTAATTACTTTATCATTTCAGCGAGAATGAGCAGAGGTTGAAATCCTGCTGTGTATGAGAGATCTGATTATGGTGGTGTTGTCAAGCTTCAAAATTTATCTTTTAGTTTTGAGGCCCTGAAGTTCAGCAGCTTCAAGATTTCACACTTTGCTTCACAGCCATGAGAGCTGGAGTTTAGTGGTAATTGAGGTTATCATCTAATCATGTGCACTCTTCTGACATAAAATGCCAAATCTCAAGAACTGGCAAAACTGAAACTTTCTGAATGGCTGAACACAGTCAGCTTCAGCTGAAGCTGGTAAGAATTCTGAATACTTCGTATCTTTAAAACTTGGAAGTCAATTGAAAAGTCCACAGTGAGGACTGCACTTTATCTCATAAGTGAGCAGTCTTTTATCTTTCCCTTCAACCAAATCCAATGCAAACTGTATGTTCTCTAGGGTGGTGAAATTTGAGTAGCGTCCCAACACTAAGTTGCACTTCATAAAGTAAGTGGGAAAAACATATTCTAATGCAGCACAGGATGGGAATGTACAAGTATTGTGGAATATTATGCAATCGCACTCATTTATCTGCAGTCAAAAGGAATTCAGAAACCTAAACGAACATAGTTGGTATGCTTGTCATTTGTATTTGTTTTCTTCTGAAGCAAAGATACTGGCCTGTGCTGGAGCCCTGTCAGCATTGGATGTCACCGGTCTGATGTGAAATGGCATAAGCCTGTGACCACCACCTGTCCACCTGTAACCCTTTTGTAACTATCTATCACCTTCTAGGTAACGCTCGGCTGCACTTCCTGGTCCTGGTGACAGGCTGTACGTCGGTTGGAAAAATCCTGGACGCTGAAGTTTACAAAATTACTGCAACAGATTTCTGTCCTCTCCAGGAAGAAACCAAGGAAGAGGAGCGTGTTACTGCCTTGAAGAAAATACTGAACTCTGGGATGTTCTATTTCTGCTGGCCTAATGCAGGCTCAAACTTTGACTTGACTGTGCGGGCTCAGAAGCAGGGTGATAACCACTATGAATCTGGTAACTCCTTCTTCTGGTTAGTATTGCATGTTAAACCAAAGTATTCTGTCATCCCTACCTGTATCTTATTGGTCATATTCCCTCTCAGAGGGAAATGAACATATGCATTTCAGGTACACCTCCTTGCATTTCATTGTCATGTCATTTTACAGTGCATGGGGCCTTAGTGAATTCATGGCAAACCTGGGTCAAACAAGTAACTTCTGTTTAACTAAAATTAATCTGATAGTGAAATACAACTCTAATATTTTGTGTTTTTAAGAAGAAAACACAAGCTGTATTTCTTACACTACAGAAACATGTCTCAATGTGTCATGAATAGTTTCCCCTGCAGTTCTTGTTAAGAATTTAAACTTTAAAAGTTATCTAATAGAAACCTGCACTAGAACTGTTCATAAATCCCATCATCTGTGCTGAAGTATCTTCTATTTCTTAAAAGTTTATTGAAACATTAAACTACAGATTTAATGTGCCCTAGTTTTTATATTGAAAACATCAATATTAATATATTTACAGCTCAGTGTAAATGTAGGTTGTACAGAAGGAAACTCCTGTGAAACACTGCTCTCTACTTCTTACTTTCTTGTACAAAGAAACAGTATTTCTTGTTGTTGGAAGTATTGGTTGAGCAGAAAGGAAAACACACAGTGCTGGGTTTTGTCTTCCCTAGGTGGGTTAATCGTTGATGTAATTCTGTTTGCTTTACAAGTAGCAGAATGCTTGAATTCCTATACTCTAATTTTTTTTCTTTTTAAACAAAAAGACAGTCACACAGGAAGCATAGCTGTACTGGAAATATGCGAGGATTATATGATGTAGGTGGAAAATAACTGGCAGAGTTAAATGTGGGTGTGTTGCTAGAATGCAGGATACATCTTGTGGCCCAAAGTAGATGAATATTAAATAAGCAAAAAAGTTCATAGTGGATGATATGTAAACATGAGAGAGCAGTTCATTCAGGCTAAATAATCTCTAGCTATGATGTGATTTTGACTGGTAAGATAGAATCATAGAATGGTTTGGGTTGGAAGGGACCTTAAAGATCATCTAGTTCCAACCCCCCTGCCATCAGCAGGGACACCCCCCACTAGATCAGGTTGCTCAAAGCCTCATCCAACCTGGCCTTAAACACCTCCAGGGAGGGGACATCTAGTGTCTTGAGTTTAACTCAGAAGAGAGATATATAAAACTTGCTTTCAACTGTGCTAATTATATATCCCTCTCAAAAAGCTCATCAAGCATGTCAAGTCAGACACATGGCACAAATGAGCTGTGTTCCAGTGATGAAACTCCTAAGGTGGCAGTGTCCCTTAGTAAAGAAACAACCTTTAAAGCAATTCTTTTTACCTGTATGGTCTTTAGAAACTTTTCTTCTTGGAAGATAAGTATTTGAACTTTCGTTTGCTGCTTCTGGCTAATCTAGGAGCAGCCCTTGAAGAGGTTCCATTCTCCTATATGTTGTAGAACAGGAATGTATGGCGACATCACATTTAGAGCAAAAAGATGTTCCAAAGAAAATTTATCTTGAGGCAGTTATGTGATATGGGAAATTTCAGACCAAATGATAGATTCTTGAGAAAAGTAAATAACTGGATAAATAGTTACATGATGAGAAGTGTCAGACAACCTTAGTTATAAGCAACACAAACTGCCTGTTAAATGAACTGCAACAACAAAAAAATTCTACTGGAATTTGTATGAGAGAGGACTTCTCTGTGAGTAGAGCTAGCAGAAGGAGGCGGAAGAGATACGAAAAGTTGTTTTAGAGCTGCTTTCTCAGTTACATGTTTTGTTTTAAAATGTAAGGATGACTTGCACCTTTTTCAGACAAATGCTGTACTCTAGAAAAGAAAAATTCTTCAGGGGTTTTGCTAGGTATAATAACTCTTGTACAGATCTGCTGTTGAGCAATAAATGATCACAAAAGAGGATTTTATTGCCCCTCATCTGTAACTAAAGGCACATTTTGAAAAATGAAATGAGGAAAACCTTCATAATAGAAGAGACTAGCATCACTGTTAACCAGGCATGATAAGTTTCTTGGGTTGTTGATCTTAAAATAAATTGAAGGTTAAAACAAACATTCCTCTTCATTTTAGTAGTACTTTTTGCAGTAACTTCATTGACTTATGGGTCCAGTTTCTGCTTGGAATAATTTTCCTGAAAACCCTAGTGGATTTTAAAATGGCACTTCATCCTGTAGTGTATAGTAAGGTCTGTACAGTACTGTTCAAAAAGTAATTAGCTTGACAGGACTGTAATCTATGAAAAAGATTACTAAATGTAAATGTCTTTCTGGAACTGAAAGTGGTGACATTTGCATCTGAATTTTTAAGACAGAGGTACAAGATATAAGGACAGCACATTGATAGTAGCTGTGCTATTAAAATTTGCCATGTTCTGTTCACAAGGATTTATTTCTGATATTTCCTGGTTTTGAGTAAAGTGAAGGTACAACAGGAAAGGGGTCACAAAATATTAATTGCTTCAATTAGTTATTGTTGTGGGTTGGCACCCGTGCTTCTCTGTCTCATTTTATTCAGTATTGTGTCTCTATGTTGTTGAACCTTTCAGGAACCAGCTATTGCATGTGCCCTTCAAGCACTACCAGGTGAACTGCTCTGACTGGTTGCTGAAGGTGATCTGTGGTGTAGTGGACATTCGCACCGTTTACGCATCCCACCAGAAGGCAAAAGCCTGCCTCATCTCTCGCATCAGCTGTGAGCGAGCTGGTGTCCGCTTCCACATTCGAGGGGTCAATGACGACGGACATGTGTCTAACTTCGTTGAGACAGAACAGGTAAGTGGATGTATCCAATAGCTTTGAATAAATCAGTCCACTCAAGTTTCATTGAGGCAGAATTTCCAACAAGAATTAAAGGAGTTTCGCAGGTGTTTTTTACAAGTATATTTAAAATATTATTGCATGATGGATCTATTTGTTCTTGCCCATCAAGCATTTCTTTGCAATCTGTTCTTCTTCTCTGTTTCTGACTTTTCTGTGCACACAGTTTTCACTTCATTTGATTTTTTTCCTGAATGTGAAAGTCTAGTGAAATATAGACATGCGTTTTTAAACCATTCAGAGAGCTCTGTGTGTTAATTCATACAAAATCAACATGTGTAACAGTAAGTTTCTCAGTTGCATGAAACTTAGAGTTATCAGTCACAAGGCCCATGTATTAAACAAAAGAATGTTTTCATACCTGTTCCAGAATAAATGTCACACTTCTATACATCATGCATACATTTTAAAGTACATTTTTTCTAAAATGTATCATGTTTCCCATGCTATAGAATGTTGAAGAAGAACTATTTTGAAAGGTTTGCTATAAAATAATGGCCTCTACAGTGAATTTATTTTTCATTCGTTTTAAGTGTCACCGTTAGTCCATACCACCAGGTTTGCTGGGCTAGCCATTGAAAGTCCCTTGCACTGCAATGGCATAACTGTGTCTACACTGATGTAAAAGAATTTGGTTGGCCATGCTGGGTGTGATTTACAGCCAAGACTGGAGTTGAGATTTGCTTTTAGTTGTAAGGAAGTAACTTAGAATCATATAAAATCTTATGATTATAAATATTCATGCTTCACGTTACTCCTGTCTGCCTTACTGGATTGAAGTAATCACTTCTTTGTACAGTAAGTTTTTCAGCTATAAAATGAGGGTGATTATTAACTTCCTGCCTAATAGGACTTTTCCAGACCAGTGAGGACAACATTTATAGAAGGTAGGTAGTGTATGCTGTGCTATGATTATGAAGACCTCTCAGCACTCAAATATATCATTCTAGTTAAGAGGAAGGTGCCCAACAAAGGAGCTGTGCTCAGTGGGAGTCAAATCAGCTTTGGCTAGTAAAGGAAATGGAGAAAAAACACCATCTTCTCGGATTGAGGCAAATTCCAGTGCAACTCACTTTGGGGGAGATTTTGCTTTGTATTCCCCTTTGCTTTCTGGGGGATTCTCTCCAGTGAGAGGTGGTATGACACAGTCTTTATACGTACGTGGTAGAAGCCTTATTTCCAGCTACTGCTGAGACAAAATACATTCAGCAGCCTCCCTTGATTGACACAGCCAAACCAAATAATGGAGTCAGTGGGTTTTATTGCACATGGTTTAGCTTACTACCTTGAAAGTGAAGAAAAAGCAGTGGACCCTGAAGAATCTGAATTTTTCTCTGCCATCTGAAATGAGTGCTTTCTTATTCGGGTATAATCACCTTTTCCTTTTTTATAGAAGTAGTAATTGCTAGCAGTCAGAACCATCATACAGAAATTGATGTCCCTGTAAGTAGAATAGGTAAATGACTTGACAGGCTTGAGAGGTGGG